TGTTAGCCAGGATGGTCTCGATCTCCTGATCTCATGATCCGCCCATCTCGGCCTCCCAAAGTGCTGGGATTACAGGCTTGAGCCACCGCGCCCGGCCCACAAAGCATTTTTTTGAATGTCTGTTCTGAAGGTATTTTTGTTACATTCTTGTCTGCACACTTTAATGTGTTTTGTCTTTGGTTAGCTCCCAAACTATGGGAAACTGAGGCAGCTAGGGAAAAAGAAAGGTGAGTAAGACAGTGTCTTCTACCTTGCAGCTGGGCCTATAATAGAAATGAATTTCAAGTGGCCGAGGGAGATAAGAGCTCATTTCCTGAAAGTCCCTGATACCTGAGCCAGAGGCTGGGAGCAGAGTTGTTGCACACCGTCCTTTGTTCTTTCTTCATGTCCCCAAATCATAATAGAGTGGGGAGGCTGCTGCCACAGGCCCCTAAAACCGTGAGGGGATGGACAGCTCTCCACACTCAGGCCCACACATCCTTATGGACTCTATGAGGAAATGCGACGTGAGATCCTAGTATCTTGACGACGTTTGAAGTACCAGCATGCACCATGGGGGGCGCTGTTCATCTTCTTAAAGATTTGATTTTTCTCCCATAAAATGTTTTTTCTCTTTCTGGTAGGACAAATATTGGCAAATTTGACATGATTTGGGATAGAGGAGCATTAGTTGCCATTAATCCAGGTGATCGCAAACGGTAAGTAATTTTTCTTTTTTTGTTTAGCCTTCTTAATTTTTTAGTATTCTATACTTTTTCTGGGTTCTAGAAAATCAGCTACACTTTTATGAGTTTGAAATAGCTTATTATATTTGGAATTTATAAAAACCTAAATCTAATACCAGCTTTGTCTAAAAAAGTATAGGATTTGGCTACAGAGACCTGGGTATAAGGCTATAAGGCTTGTGGCTGTATCACTTTCAAGCTGTGTGGCCTTGGTCCAAGTATGCAACTTCTCTAAGCTTTGGTTTACTCCTGCAAAATGGGAATATTTCTGTAATACTAACACAATCATCACCACCTCCACTAATATTACCAGGTAATACTTATTGGTCACTTGCACTATGCCAGGTACTGTTCAAAACACTTTGTGTGGGCTGGGTGTGGTGGATCACACATGTAATCCCAGCACTGTGGGAGGCCAAGGCAGGAGAATTACTTGAACCCAGGAGTTTGAGACCAGTCTGGGCAACAAAGCAAGACGCCACCTCTGCAAAATATTTTTAAAATTAGCTGACTATGGTGGTATGTGCTTGTAGTCCCAGCTACTTGGGAGGCTGAGGCAGGAGAATTGTTTGAACCCAGGAGGCAGAGGTTGCAGTGAGCCAAGATTGTGCTACTGCCCTCCTGCCTAGGTGACAGAGCAAGACGCCATCTCAAAAAAATAAATAACTATATAAAAACAAGTTAGGCTCCACATCAGTGAAATACAATTTTTATTTTAAAAAATTGTTTCATCAGTAAGGCTTACTGCCAAACCTAACCTTTTTAAATTAGACCATGCCACATCTTAATTTTCATGCTCCTGTTTCCCCCTCTTTGTCACTGTTCCTCCTTTATCTCTTTTCCAGAACTCCCGTCCTCCTTGCATGCCTAAAAGTTGTGATTCCTCAAGGGACCACCATCCTCAGCCTTTTGCTCTCACCCAAAAATTGCCAATATTTGTCCTACCAGAAAGAAAAAAAAAAAAAAAAACATTTTATGAGAGAAAAATAAAATCTTTTTTTTTTTCTTTCTTTCTTTCTTTTTGTTTTTGAGATGGAGTTTCACTCCTGTTGCCCAGGCTGGAGTGCAGTGGTGCTATCTCGGCTCACCTCAACCTCCGCCTCCCGGGTTCAAGCGAATCTCCTGCCTCAGTCTCCCAAGTAGCTGGGATTATAGGCATGCTTCACCACACCCGGCTAATTTTTTTGTATTTTTAGTAGAGACGGTTTTTAGTAGAGTAGGTTTCTCCATGTGGGTCAGGCTGGTCTCGAATTCCCAACCCCAGCTGATCCACCCGCCTTGGCCACCCAAAGTGCTGGGATTACAGGCATGAGCCACCACGCCTGGCTGAAAAATCAAATCTTTAAAGATCAATTCTGTTACTTTCATTCAGCTATTCAACAAATATTTACTAAGTTCCTGCGATGCTCTAAATATATACTATGCCAGAAGCAGGGGAAATAACTGAACAGATTATACATGGTATTTGCTCTGACAATCTTTACATTTCCAGCTCTGTTCTTTCTCCCAAACATCCACATCACATGTCCAGTGTCTGCTTTGCATTTCCCATGTGACATCAGTGTCCTTTAACGACTCAAAATATCACTGAGACCTCTGTCTCCATAAGACACATTTGTATATGAAACCTGATCTGCTAATGTCTAAATTTGTAGGTGTTTCCCACTCCCTAAAGATGTTCATCCACTCCTTAGAGGTTAGTCCTTCTACAGGCTCTGGTTGGCATGGTAAAATCAACCAAGCAGTGGGAAGCAAACTGAAAGTCACCAAGTGCAGACCAAGAGTAGACACAGCACTTTGGGAGGCTGAGGTGGGCAGATCACCTGAGGTCAGTTATTTCCCCAGTGTCTGGCATGGTATATATTTAGCACCTAGTAAGAGCTTAATAAATGTTTTTTAAATAAATGAGTAGAGGAACTAGGGTTTGAGCTTGGGCATCTCGTAGAGTCCACACTCCTAATCTCCACACTTGCCTCCCCAGCTTCTCACAGACCTCTGGACACAGATCATAGTCTAGCCAGGCTCTGTAGAAACTGGAGTGCCAAGAGCGCAGGCTCCTTCCTCAGTGTGGGGAAGAGTGTCCATCTTTGTCCTTGACCTGTCTCTCGTGGCCTCTCTACCTCCCTGCATGCATCTCCTGTCCTCTCCTTATCCCTCAGCTTCCTCCATTTTTATTCCCACATAGCTGACTTGCCTTCAACCCTCAGCCTCCTTGCTCCAATCACCATACAACAGAAAAGCTCCAACTTTCAGTAGGACCACAGCTAATTAGCAAGTCCTCTTCTGTCTCTTAATTCAATTTCCAAGTCAGTCATCTGATTGGTCAACTCATCGTCTGTCCCTGGTCCAGCCCTGGCTTCTGCCCAGTCCATCGATGGGTCCTGTTAGCATCAGCTTCCCGCTCTGAGCCAATCAGACCTGGCTGTCAAAGGACAGTTCCATTGCACTCATGGTTTACTCCACACTTGCAGAGCTTTCATTTCATGCCACCTTTTTTTTACCTGCTTGTTATTCTCATTTCTCTCTAATTAATAGAGGAAAAGAATTGTGTTTTCTCTTACATAAGGCCCCTGGAGGGGTCCCAGTCACCCAGGATATTTGTTAAATTGCAGCATCCCAGGCCCCATGGCAAACTGACTGCATTGGTCTGTGGGGATGGAGCTTGGGCATCTTTTCTTTCAACAAGCACCCGGTGATTTTGACACCCAGCCTGGTCTAGAAACCACTGCCCTCAAGCACACAGGCATCCAAGCAGGCCCTCGAGTACTTCTTCAGGCCAGGAGCCTCTACCCAACCTTATGTGATGTCTTCTGCTCTGATCAGCTCTGGAAGCAGGCCTCGATTTGATTCCCATTTGGACCAATTCCCAGCTTAGGCAGGGGCCATAATTTGCTAAACCCACTTCTCACTTTTAAAATGAGAATCAACCTCTTGTGATTATTAGGAGAATTTAAACTCAGTAATATCAGCGAAAGTAACTTCTGGCTTCCTTCCCTGCCTTTTGTCCCTCCAGCCTTTGCCTGTGTAGAGAAATGTAACGAATACCTTCTTGTGTTCTTTTAGCTATGCAGATACAATGTTATCCCTCCTGGGAAAGAAGTTTCAATATCTCCTGTGTGTTTTTTCTTATGATCCAACTAAACATCCAGGTAAAGTTGTTGGGTTTTGTTTTTTTTTTCTTTTACTAGTTGCCTAGTTTCTTGATATAAATTCTCTGACATGGAAAAGCATTATTGTCTCCTAATTTATCTCACAGGAAGCATACTGCGTATATACATGGAGGTAATTCCAGTTTTGGCTAATGGGAACTATAAGAATTTTTTCTCTTCCTATATTGTCCATGATTTTCCTGTGTTCCTTTCCCATTTTGTTTACCATTCACAACTCAGACTGGAGAAAGGGGGGAAGTGGATGATCCTGATATACAAGAGAAATCTCATGAGCCCTATTGGGAGGAAGGAGGAATGTGGTTGGATATTGCATATCCATATCATCCAAGTGGTAGTGATGTGTTGGACGGATGCCTTCACATACACAAGCCCGGGGTGAGAAGTGAATATGGGGATGTAGGAGTTGTGCAGGAAAAGCTATAAATTATTGTCCTTTTTTAATTTCTGAAGTTTTAAAATCTATCTATTGCATTCTTTTATTTGTTTTGAATCTGTTGGGGGTATGTTTTCTCCTGGACTCATTTTAATGCATTCGAACATTGAAACTTAACCTTTGTCATGGCTGGACTTGTAAAGGGAGAAATACGTAGACTTTTAATTTGTAAGAATCACCTTTTTGATTTTCAACTGAGCTTTTTTACATGCTTGTTTTTTAAGTATTTACATATGTTAGAATTTTGTTTTTTGTTTTGTTGTGTTTTGTTTTGTTTTTGAGACACAGTCTCACTCTGTGGCCCAGGCTGGAGTGCAGTGGTTTGATCTCGGCTCACTGCAATGTCTGCCTTCCAGGTTCAAGCGATTCTCCTGCCTCAGCCTCCCAAGTAGCTGGGATTACAGTGTATGCCATCACTCCCAGCTAATTTTTGTATTTTTAATAGAGACAGGATTTCACCATGTTGGCCAGGCTGGTCTCGAACTCCTGACCTCAGATGATCCGCCCTCCTCGGTACAGGCATGAGCCACTGTGCCCAGCTAGTATTTTGTTTCTGCTTGAATAAATTGAGGTCTTAAAAAACTCATTAAAAGATGAGACCTAGTGTCCCTAATTAAATCAGAGACAATCAAATGGAAATAGAAATTAATAGAGGCAGAAGTTAGCTCTGCTAATCTGATTTAAATTCCATTCATGAATAGGAGCCCTAACAAAGAACCTTTGGGAAGAAAATACAGCAGGCCCTGTCTGGAGGTGGATGGCTGAGGTTACTGCTCTTAGAAGGGGGCGGAAGCTCGGCTTCCTTATAGTCTACATCCTGCAGCAGAGCAGGAGGGGTGTATAAAATGTGGGTAAGTGCAGGGGTTGGTAGAAAGTCAGTATACTGGAAGATGGTTGAAGCCCCAAAGGAATCTGCTGATGGACTCCACTCTGATTTCAATGAGCCTAAGTCTCTTGACTGGCTTAGCTGTCTCATCGAAGCTAAAGATGGATATGATGGGTATGTAACATTGCCATCCTCTCAGCAAGCCAATGTATTTATTCAGTATGAGATTTGCAAAAGAAGAATGAGAAGAACATGCCACATCATCACCTATTTGGATAACGAAGTGGTATATAGAACAAGTACACCTAGGTCATTGGAAATAAACTGAGAATTGTATATGGAACAAGTACACCTAGGTCATTGGAAATAAACTGAGAATTTATTTCTCTTTTACCTAGGTCCACCATTTTATGTTCCACATGCTGAAATTGAAAGGTTGTTTGGTAAGTTTGTGGACTTACGCTGTAACTTTTTAAATAAAGTCAAGTTAACTCTTTTAGGCTGGGCGTGGTGACTCATGCCTCTATTTCCAGCACTTTGGGAGGCCAAGGTGGGCAGATCACCTGAGGCCAGGAGTTCAAGACCAGCCTGGCCAACATTGTGAAACCCCATCTCTACAAAAATACAAAAATTAGGCCAGTGTGGTGGCATGTGCCTGTAGTCCCAACTATTTGAGAGGCTGAGGCATGAGAATTGCTTGAACCTGGGAGGCAGAGATTGTAGTGAGCCAAGATTGTGCCCCTGCGCTCCAGCCTGGGTAACAGTAAGACTCCATCTAAAAAACAAAAAAAAACACACCAAAAAAATCTGTTGTGAACTATTAGTATATTAGTATCTAGAGTATGTCTATAAAATGTAAAAGATAAAGACCATTTTATTTAAAATTGTTTTATCTTAGAAAAGGAACTAATCTCTGTAAATATGCTCTGTATATATGCTATATGCTTTATGTTAAAGGCATTTGAACTTTTCTAGAGAGATGGTATATTTTTATTTATTTATTTATTTATTTTTGAGATAGGATCTTGCTCTGTCACCCAGGCTGGAGTGCAGAAGTGCAATCACAGCTCACTGCAGCCTCGACCTCCCTGGGCACAAGTGATCCTCCCACCTCAGCCTCCCAAGTATCTGGGACCAGAGGCATGCACCACAATGCTTAGCTAATTTTTGTAATTTTTTGTAGAGATGAGGTTTCACCACATTGCCCAGGTTGGTCTCGAACTCCTGGGCTCAGGTGATCCTCTTGTCTTGGTCTCCCACTGTACTAGGATTAGAGGCATGAGCTGCCGTGCCCAGTGGTGTATTTATTTTTCTCTTGGGAGTTAAAAGTGATAATAACAATTCAGAGTTCAGGAAATTTGCCCTTAGCATTCCTTTGTTTTGATTAAAAAGAAGAGAAAAACCTTTAGTATACACTGTGGTTTTGTTTGTTTTGAGATGGAGTTTCACTCTTGTTGCCTAGGCTAGAGTGCAATGGTGCAATCTCAGCTCACTGCAACCTCCATCGCCCAGGTTCAAGCGATTCTCCTGCCTCAGCCTCCCAAGTAGCTGGGATGTGCCACCATACCCAGCTCGTGTTGCATTTTTATTAGAGATGGGGTTTCACCATCTTGGCCAGACTGGTCATGAACTCCTGACTTCAAGTGATCCACCCACCTCGGCCCCCCAAAGTGTTGGGATTACAGGTGTGAGCTGCCACACCCAGTCAATTTTAAGTATTTTTAAAAGAATCCCTGATGTCATTCTTCATAGTATTTTAACATGTTACTCTTTCTTGTTTCAGGTAAAATATGCAATATACATTGTCTAGAGAAGGTTGATGCTTTTGAAGAACGACATAAAAGTTGGGGAATTGACTATCTTTTTGAAAAGTTATATGTACTTACAGAAAAGTAAATGAGACATAGATAAAATAAAACCACATTGACAAGTTTTTGAGGAATTGAAAATTCTGCTAACACCTGAAAATTAATTTTTTAAATTGTTTATAAATCATATGATAGATCTTTACTAAAAATGGCTTTTTAGTAAAGCCGTTTACTTTTTCTAAAAAAGTTTTAGAAGAAAAAGATGTAACTAAACTTTTAAAGTAGCTCCTTAGGAGAGGACATTATGATGTGGAAGATTATACCTGTGTGTCGTGCAGATTACAAGATACTTTACCAATCAGCATGTGTTACCTGTACAATTAAAAAAAAATTTTAAATGCAATGCATATTAAATATAGTACACACGGAAAAACTGGCATTTATTTTATTTTATTTTATTTTTTGAGATGGAGTTTCATTCTTGTTGCCCAAGCTGGAGTGCAATGACGCAATCTCAGCTCACTGCAACCTCCACCTCCCAGGTTCAAGTGATTCTCATGTCTCAGCCTCCCGAGTAGCTGGGATTACAGGTGTGCACCACCACGCCCAGCTAATTTTTTGTATTTTTAGTAGAGACGGGGTTTCACCATGCTGGTCAGGCTGGTCTTGAACTCCTGATCTCAGGTGATCTGCCCACATTGGCCTCCCAAAGTGCTGGGATTACAGGCATGAGCCACTGCACCCGGCCTGACATTCTTTATGAAATTTAGAATTGTCGAAGAAATGTAACACTTCAGTAGTGTTCAAGGTGGTCCCAAAAGTTATATAAAAGATTAGTTTTTACTATAAACCTTTTTTTAAAGTCTTTTACTCAGATCCTAGCATCCCTTTTCACATGGTGTCTCCATATATAACAGAATCAAGAAACAAATTTTAATTAAGCAATCTGTAATGGAATCAAGAAACAACCTTTAATTAAATAATCTATGTGGAATAAACATTCCCAAATTCTAAGAGTAAATTTTTCTTTGAGTTTTCTCTTAGTTTGGCAGTTGTTGCTTTTTATAATTTAACCTATTTACATCATCAGGTCTTATAAAGTATAATGTACTTAGAGCTGGATTCATGGCTGTTTATTATGAAAGTTTAGATTTTTCAGTTTTTCATTAACGATCACATTTTGTTACATCAGACAGTCCTCTACAGCTCTGTACTACCCAACAACTAAATGGTTTAGATTGTTCAGCTCATGTTAATAGGATAGTTGTGCATCATAAAAAATGAGTTACGTGTGTGTGTGCGCGCATGCGTGTGTGCTGGCTTAAAGGTTGTTAATGGGGGGGGGGTTTGGGGTCCCCTTTAACATTGGTGAAAGCTATGGTATTCTCCCCAGAGATATGTCTTGTCAACCTCTCTAGTTCTCCTTGACCTGCATGTACAAACTTCTACCCTAGAAGCTCTCTGCCATTGATGTATTCTAATAGATTTGTAAGGCTATTAATTTGAAGCACCTCCTTGCCCACAATGAGTCTTGCATCTCTGAGACATGCTCCCAGTCTATCGTGTGGGCTTCAGAAGCCATGACTCCCCAACTCTGCCTGCGTCACCAGTTGAGTGGAAAACTGACCCAAGCTGGACCAACACAATTCTCTCCAGAGACTTTTGATTTTACTTTTTTTGTAGAGACAGGGTCTCACTTTGTTGTCCAGGCTGATGTGGAACTTGATGTGAGGCCTCAAGCAGTGCTCCTATCTCAGCCACCCAAAGTGCTGGGATTACAGGTGTGAGCCCTTGCGCTGGCCCTCTTCATAGACTTTTGGACTTGGGAATAGAAAGGCAGCCCTGTCTCTACTAAAAATACAAAAAATTAGCCAGGTATGGTGGCACGCACACGTACTCCCAGCTACTCAGTAGGCTGAGGCAGGAGAATCACTTGAACCTGGGAGGTGGGGGTTGCAGTGAACTGAGATCACACCACTGCACTCCGGCCTGCGCAACAGAGCGAGACTCCATCTCAAAAAACAGAAAAGAAAGAAAGGCAAGTTGACTGCTGAATGGGGAATCTGTAATGTGTACGCCTGGGGGCTGTGGGGCAGCCACATTCCACCACGTGGATCTGAGAAACAGAATGCTGATCTGCGGAAAGAGAGGCCACCTGTGTTCTGGATCCATTTTCATCCTTCCTGAAGCCCAGCTGCCCAGGGTGGGGAAGAACACCCTGTGTCCATGGGGTAGAGTCCTCTCCTCTTGCACTTGTGCTCAAAGAATCTTCAATAATACAAATGAGATATCCTTATGTAGTTGATCTTTTATGTAATATGTGTCTTCATTGGGGAATACTGACTTCTCAAAGTCTCAAGATGGAAGATATACCACTTATAATTTATTTTAGAGCAATTGAATTGTTTTTAGGATTTTCCAAAAATGCTGCTTGTTTCATTTTGTTATTTAAGGAACAGATTATCTAAGCCTCTGTACCCTGCACACTGTGGTTTACAAATGCCTTGCCCTGCCTATGAAGCAGGCAGGAATGCTCCAGTATAGACAATGTTATCAGTAGCAGACAGGACAAAGAAAGAAAGGTATGTAATAATCAATCTGTTTGGGTGAATGTGGAAAGAAAAATACAAAGAAATATAACCAAAGCTTAAACAGCTATCACTGGCAAGTTAGAGATTTGGCTCCATAAAGAATGGCACAGGGACCACGGAAGGTGGCCCGAAAGATGTACCTATGAGAGAGCTCCCAGCTGATGGGATTCTTTGGCAGAATGAAGTGACAAATACAACCTAAGCCACGGAGATATTAGTTCAAGTAATTTACCCAGTCACAACTGCAGTACATACCTGTCATTGTTTTATTTTAATACAAGGGAGCAATTTCAATGTGTGTTTGTGGATACATGTATATGTTTATGTTGCACCTACTCCTTATTTTTATTTTTTATTTTGAGACAGGGTCTCACTCTGTCACCCAGGCTGGGGTACGGTGGTGTGATTATAGCTCACTGCGGCCTTGGTTTCCTAGGCTTAAGAAATCCTTCTGCCTCAGCCTCCTGGGTAGATGGGACTGCGGGCATGTGCCACCACACCCAGCTAATTTTTTTTTTTCTTTTTAATAGAGATGAGGTCTCACTGTGTTGCCCAGCATGATCTCGAACTCCTGGCCTCAGGTGATCCTCCCACCTCAGCCTCCCAAAGTACTGCTCAGCCTACACCTACTCTTTCTGAAAAGTCAGAGTAAGATTTCTACTGAGTGCTTTTTAAAAATCAAAATTATCAGCTGGGTGCAGTGGCTCACGCCTGTAATCCCAGCACTTTGGGAGGTCAAGGTGGGCGGATCACCTGAGGTCGGGTGTTTGAGACCAGCCTGGCCAACATGGTGAAACCCCATCTCTACTAAAAATACAAAGATTAGCAGGGTGTGGTGTCATGTGCCTATGATCCCAGCTACTCAGGAGGCTGAGGCAGGAGAATCGCTTGAACCTGGGAGGCAGAGGTTGCAGTGAGCTGAGATCACGCCACTGCACTCCAGCCTAGGCAACAAGAGCAAAACTCTGTCTCAAAAAAAAATCAAAATTATCTTTAATCCCCACAGCTCTGACTCCAATTGCTTCTTATGTGATGGCTTTTTGCCTTATAAAACATTATATGACAAACTGATCAGTGGCTGAGTTAATGGGAATCGGATAGAATTCTATTTATGTGCCTTAAGCATAGTCATTCTGATTTGCAGAAAATAGCCATGTCCCAGATTTATTAATTATGTGTAGCTGTAATTTGTGGGCTGAAAATATGTCTGAAAATCTGTGATTCCTAAACAGTGAGTATTAATAGAAATTTATTTCACTACCAGTGTTAACTTTCAACAACAGGAGGATAATCAAGGCAGATATTTAGAAATGAAATATACCATAAAATATTAAGTTATTTATATTTAAACAAGACAAATAATCCTTTATGCATTGAAAATTTAGGAAGTTTAAAAAGAAAAACAAAAGCAATCAAGTCCTGTCACTGGAGATAATTACTGCTATGATGATGATGTATTTTCTTCTCATCTTTTTTGTCTGCTCATACATGTGTATGCTTTCACAAGGTTGTGATCATATTACGATACAGCATTGCATCTCCACTATCTTCCTTTCTATTTATTTGCCCTTCGCCATGCTGAGGCAGGAGAATAGGGTCTGGAGGCAAGGAACCTAAGGCTGATTGATGCTGACTTCCTAGAACTAAATTGAAAGGAAAACCTCAACTTTCCATGCCTAAGTAACAAAAGGACCAGAGGCTACTCCCTTTGTAACACCTCCCCAACCCCCACCTCCCCGCCTTTTCTGAGTGGCAGAAACGTCTGCAACCAATCAGACGTTTGCATGGAAGTGTAACTTTTGTAACTTCACTTCAGCCTCTGGTTGCAGAAAGCAAAAGCAACCAATCAGACTGATGGCAGGCCACTACTTTATTTGCATGGGATGAATACCAAGTGGCTAATGGGAAACCTCTAGCCGGTATTTGGACCCCAGAAGATTCTGTAACCAGGGCCCTTGAGCCACTGCTTAGCCAGGTCCCACCCTCATTTTCAATAAATCTCTGCTTTCATTGCTTCATTTTGTCCAATTCTTTGTTGAAAAAGCCAAGAATCTGGACAACTTGTAGTCAAGACCCTCTACTGGTAACAACATCACTAAATAGTTTTCAAAAGCAATTTTTTTTTTTTTTTTTTTTTTGAGATGGAGTCTCGCTGTGTCGCTCAGGCTGGAGTGCAGTGGCACGAGCTTGGCTCACTGCAAGCTCCGCCTCCCGGGTTCACGCCATTCTCCTGCCTCAGCCTCCTGAGTTGCTGGGACTACAGGTGCCCGCCACCACACCTGGCTAATTTTTTGTATTTTTTATTAGAGACAGAGTTTCACCCTGCTAGCCAGGATGGTCTCGATTTCCTGACCTCGTGATCTGCCCGCCTCGGCCTCCCAAAGTGCTGGGATTACAGGCGTGAGCCACTGCGCCCGGCCCAAAAGCAAGATTTTTAAATAGCTGTATAATGTTGTAATGTGGCAGTACCATTATTATTTAGTCTTTCTCCTGTTATTAGAGTCAGCATTCATTCAGCAATTTAAGTACTGTTGGGTGTGCTAGCAGATAAAGGTTTATTGACTATTGAAGATAGTCCTGTTCTCAGACATCACAGGCTGTAGGAGTAGGGACTGAACACTGAATTTTACTATATAGCATGGTACGGCTGTCTTAGGGGTACAGGCTGTACAATCTTTGGGTCAGATGACATTTGATTAGCAAACGTTCTTTCTTGTCTTACATTAAAACTCTTTGCAGGGGCCTTAACAGGGTATAAAATGCTGTGTTTTCTCAGAAATCCAGCAAATCAGAAGGTGAACGATCATGATTATGATCTCTGAAGGAACAGAAATTCTCTGATACAAGGTTTTGTTAAGCACAATGTTCACATAAGACATTTGGGGGAGAACCCCTTAAAATAAGAGATCAGGGCCGGGCACGGTGGCTCATGCCTGTAATCGTAGCACTTTGGGAGGCTGACGCGGGTGCATCACCTGAGGTCAGAAGTTCAAGACCAGCCTGGCCAACATGGTGAAACCGCATCGCTACTAAAAATACAAAACTTAGCCGGACGTGGTGGTGGGTGCCTTTAATCCCAGCTACTCGGGAGGCTGAGGCGGGAGAATTGCCTGAACCCAGGAGGCGGAGGTTGCAGTGAGCTGAGATCATACCACTGCACTCCAGCCTGGTGACAGAGCAAGACTCCATCTCAAAAAAAAAAAAAGAAAAGAAAAAAAGAAAAAAGAAAAATGAGAGATTCATAATACCACAATGGATTCTTCACGCAGATTATGCTATCCCTTGTTTGAAGATTTTCCAACATATGGCAAATTCTCTTTGCTTTTGGTCTTCACTGAGATTGGAAAAACTGAATTTAGTGCCGTTTGAAGGAATTATTATAATGCAGCGGTTCTCAAACTTGGCTGTCCATTATAATCACCTGGGGAGCTTTTATAAATCCCAGCTGTCCAGACCACACCATGGGCCAATTAAACTTTTCGGGTGTGACCCAAGTGTTTACCATGTGCAAAGAAGTTTGAAAATGACTAAAATAGGTAACTCTGAAGTCAAACTGCCTGGCTTCAAATTCCAGGCCAGCCACTTCCTAGCCATGTGACCCTAGGCAAGATATTTGATTTATGTGAACTCTATGAGAGAAAAAGATGATAAGAATAACATTTTCTTGTAGGATTGCTATGAGGTTTAAACAAGATAATCTATGTAAACTATTAAGTTGCTGCAAAAGTAATCACGATTTTTGCCATTAAAAGTGATGGCAAACACTGCGATTACTTTTGCACCAACCTAACACAACAGGGCAGGCATATGTGAATTCTATAGGCTGGGCACAGTGGCTCACACCAGCACTTTGGGAGGCCAAGGGGTGGGGAGGATTGTGAACAATTTTCACAAGTTCAAGACCAGCCTAGGCAAACACAGAGAGACCTTCTCTCTACAAAAAAATTTTAAAATTAGCCTAGTGTGGTGGTGGATGCCTGTAGTCCCAGCTACTGAAGTGGGAGGATTGCTTGAGTCTGGGAGATGGAGGCTGCAGTGAGCTGTGATCGTGCCCCTGCACTCCAGCCTGAGAGACAGAGTGAGACTTGGTCTTTAAAAAAAAAAAAAAAAGTTCTATAGTAATTATTATTAACTAACAGCTTTCTTATTTCATATTAATTACTCTGCAAGACACTTCCAGCGTGGTTCCCCCATCTGACACTCATTCACCTAGTTGATTTTTTGTTGTTGTTCTATAACATTCTTTCATTCATGCACGAATTCATTTTACAAGTATGTATTCATTGACTTAACTACGAGTGTGAAAGAAGACACAAAAGAAATATACACATCTGCCTCACCTCCCTTGGAGTTTGTCTTCTCCCGTGTGCTCGTGTTTTCCAGTTCAGATCAAAAGCATCATGAGCTAGGGGACCATGTTTGATGCCTGGACAGCCCTAGCACCCAACGCTGAGGATTGGAGACACTGCTAGGTGACCCGGGCTGGAAGACTGGGTTCTGGTTCTTGTTTCGCCACTTACAGGCTGGGTAACAGGGAGCAATCCTGTTGTCCTCAATAGATGTGTTTCCTCACCTGAAAGTGTACACAATCCATCCATGACTGATGTGACGATTACAGGTCTACACAATGCGCATGTGGATTTGTCTTGCAAACGTCCACGACCAGGCCCTCAAGAAACAGTGCCGCGCATGCCCACCAAGGGGCAGCAGATCGCAGTGCAGAGGCCCGCGGCGCTTGACGTCAGGGCGCACGTCCCACCCCGTGACCGTGACTGTGACCGTGACCAAGAGCGTCTCTGGGACACGGCCGGGCGGCGCGGCGGGAGTGCACAGGACCCGCCATGGCGGCCGAAGCCTCGGAGAGCGAGCCGGCTCTGCAGGAGCTCATGCGCGAGGCGGAGATCAGCCTGCTGGAGTGCAAGGTGTGCTTTGAGAAGTTTGGCCACCGGCAGCAGCGGCGCCCGCGCAACCTGTCCTGCGGCCACGTGGTCTGCCTGGCCTGCGTGGCCGCCCTGGCGCACCCGCGCACGCTGGCCCTCGAGTGCCCATTCTGCAGGCGAGCCTGCCGGGGCTGCGACACCAGCGACTGCCTGCCGGTGCTGCACCTCATAGAGCTCCTGGGCTCAGCGCTTCGCCAGTCCCCGGCCGCCCACCGCGCCGCCCCCAGCGCCCCCGGAGCCCTCACCTGCCACCATACCTTTGGCGGCTGGGGGACCCTGGTCAACCCCACCGGACTGGCGCTTTGTCCCAAGACGGGGCGGGTCGTGGTGGTGCACGACGGCAGGAGGCGTGTCAAGATTTTTGACTCTGGGGGAGGATGCGCGCATCAGTTTGGAGCGAAGGGGGACGCTTCCCAAGACATTAGGTATCCTGTGGATGTCACCATCACCAACGACTGCCATGTGGTTGTCACTGACGCCGGCGATCGCTCCATCAAAGTGTTTGATTTTTTTGGCCAGATCAAGCTTGTCATTGGAGGCCAATTCTCCTTACCTTGGGGTGTGGAGACCACCCCTCAGAATGGGATTGTGGTAACTGACGCGGAGGCAGGGTCCCTGCACCTCCTGGACGTCGACTTCGCGGAAGGGGTCCTTCGGAGAACTGAAAAGTTGCAAGCTCATCTGTGCAGTCCCCGAGGGGTGGCAGTGTCTTGGCTCACGGGGGCCATTGCAGTCCTGGAGCACCCCCTGGCCCTGGGGACTGGGGTTTGCAGCACCAGGGTGAAAGTGTTTAGCTCAAGTATGCAACTTGTCGGCCAGGTGGATACCTTTGGGTTGAGCCTCTATTTTCCCTCCAAAATAACTGCCTCTGCTGTGACCTTTGATCACCAGGGAAATGTAATTGTTGCAGATACCTCTGGTCCTGCTATCTTTTGCTTAGGAAAACCTGAGGAGTTTCCAGTACTGAAGCCCATGGTCACTCATGGTCTTTCCCATCCTGTGGCTCTTACCTTCACCAAGGAGAATTCTCTTCTTGTGCTCGACACAGCATCTCATTCTATAAAAGTCTATAAAGTTGACTGGGGGTGATGGGCTGGGGTGGGGCCCTGGAATCAGAAGCACTAGTGCTGCCATTAATGAATTGTTTAACCCTGGATAAGTCACTTAAACTCATCTATGCAGGCAGGGATAATTAAAACTGTCTGGTAGACTTACAAAGCTTGGGACAATTATTAGAGATTAATCTACCATTTATTGAATGCATACTCTTTGTGCAAGGAAATTTGCAAATATTAGCTCGTTTAATCCGTACTATCCAGTGAGGTAATTTTTTTCCCCCCCGAGATAGAGTCAAGCTCTGTCACCCGGGCCGGAGTGCAGAAACATGATCACAGCTCACTACAGTTTCAACTTCCACCACTCGGGTGATCCTTCCACCTCAGCCTCCCAAGTAGCTGGGACCACAGGCGTGCGTTACCACATCCAGCTAATTTTTGTATTTTGATAGAGATGGGGTTTCATCATGTTGCCCAGGCTGGTCTCAAACTCCTGAGCTCAAGCAATCCACCTTCCTCGGCCTCCCAAAGTGCTAGGATTACAGGCATAGCCACCTTGCCTAGCCATAATTTTTATTATTAATCTCATCGTGCAAGTGAGAAAACTGAAACCCAGAGAGCTTAAGTGACTTCCTCGAGGTCATAGTTACTTACTGCCATAGTCACAATTTTTCAATTCTGATTCCAAATAAGTTGTGCTTAAATAAGATAACAGATGTGGGGAAAAGTAGGTGAACGAATAGTGTTGCTATGTGTACTGTCTCTACAAGTAGCTAATTATTTTAGCACAAAGATGTGCAAAGAAAGGAGACTTTATGGAGCGTTCAGGAGAAAAAGGATTTTGTGGTGGCCATCACTTTCATTCAATTTGTGACTGCTCTGATGGCACATTAGATGAATTTACTGTTGATCCTGAATTACGTGAATAAGAAAAACAATTGAACTGCTTATTAAAAAGGTAAACATGTCTTGTAATGCCTATATCTTCTCCACTATACATACTCAGAAAATAACACTTGGTTGTTTGAGAAAGGCCTATATTTACATAAGTTCTAAACTATTGCAGAACACACTACATACTATTGTCAGAGGGCCAGATGACGCTCCTGTTACATGTTTATGTTACATATTTATGGGTTTGTTTGTTTGTTTGTTTGTTTGTTCTTAGACATGGTCTTGCTCTGTTGCCCAGGCTGCAGTGAAGTGGAGTAATCACTGCTCACTGCGGTCTCAACGCCCTGGGCTCAAGCGATCCTCTTGCCTCAGCATCCTGAATAACTGGGACTAGAGGTGTGTCACCATGCCCAGCTAATTTTTAATTTTTTCGTAGAGATGGGATCTTGCTTTGTAGCCCAAACTGGTTTCAAGCTCCTGGGCTCAAGCGAGCCTCCTATCTTGGCCTCCCAAAGCACTGGAACTATAGGTATGAGCCACTGTGCCTCACCCATGTAAAGTAAAAGTGAGAGCCTAACTCCCATGCCAGTCCACAAAAACCCATTTTGTTGTCAATGCTCTCATCATATAGCACTAATAGTAAGATTTGGGGCACCCTAGACCACGATTTATAAATGCATTCTAAACAGAAGTTCTATGGACAAATCTCTTGTCCCCACATGCACATATCCCACCATTAAAGTCACCCCTAGGTTGGTGACTTCACGGGTGTTCTGAATACATACCAAGAAACATTCCAAGTGGAGATGTGAATTCAGACTTATTTGGTCATTTATGAATAGAGCAACTGAGGACAGATCTTAGACCATTTTCCTTAAGAACAATGACGTTTTAATGATTTTAGGATTAGTAGAGCCAATTCAAAAGATTTTTCTCTTTGGAATTATTAATGGCATCGTCTCTGATTATAAAGCTGGACATGTGTCCTTTTCAGACAGCGGTCATGATAAAGGTGTGGAATATGCAACGCAGGGAGGTATGTGAGCAAGGTAGCATTGCTGGTCATCGTGTGGATTACCTGACTTCAAGAATCAGGTGCGCATCTGTGAGATGATGTGGGAGTGCATCAGACCTGTGATAACAAGCCATCTTAGTAACTGCTATCTTTCCTTGGTAGATTATCAGGCTTGGGACTGGAATGGGGCTGGATGCACAACATAAAAAGAACTGTAGAAAGCAGCACTTCCCAGGAATGTCCTAGGACAGGAGCAGAGTTTCCTTGAGGAAGACATGAAGCTTGTTGTTCTTGATTATCAGGCACACACGTGCTGAGAGAATAGTTTCAGTGACTCGTAAGGCAGATGCAAAATTCATCTTCCAGACTGTTTTTTTTTTTTTTTTTTTTTTGAGACAGAGTCTGGCTCTGTTGCTCAGGTTACAGTACAATGGTGCAATCTCTGCTCACTGCAACCTCTGCCTCCCAGGTTCAAGCTATTCTCCTGCCTCGGCCTCTGCAGCAGCTGGGATGACAGGCACCCACCATCATGCCCAGCTAATTTTTGTATTTTTAGTAGAGATGAAGTTTCACCATGTTGGCCAGACTGGTCTCAAACTCCTGACTTCAAGTGATCCACCTGCCTCGGCCTCCCAAAGTACTGGGATTACAGGCATGAGCCACCGCACCCAGCCAGACTGTGTTCTTTAAAGGAAGCTGATTAAAAGGCTTGAGATATGTCATGCTGAACTCCAGGTTATTGAAGAAATCGGAGAATTCTGAGACAGGCAGGAAAAAATAACCCCAGCAGAAAGTAAAAGCTTCCAAGGTGATGAAGAAGGGTTGGAATGACTCGCAGAGGTTGAAACAAAAGAACGTGCCCAGGAGTAAAGGGAGAAGGAAAAGAAAGTAGGCTCTTCCAGAATATCCCCCATGGCCTGTTTGGTGAGTCCATAAAAGCAAACACAGACACTTTGGCTCCTGTGTCAGCAGTTCTCACATCACCCTCCATCTATTCCAATTTTGCCCAATTCCCAATCCTTCCACTGTCTCCTGCTTTTGACCTTGTTCCACCCTCTGGACTTGCCGCCTGGAGTTGGTTTTCTCAATCTCTTTCCTTGGCATTTTGTAAAGACCTAGGTTCATACTCACAAATCTCCCCTCTAGCAAATCTAGCTCTGGACCCCAGGACCCAGACCATCACGATTTTGCTAGTGCCTTATGCAGACCTTCCCCGGCCCCCAACTAAGTGGGGTGCAGACCCCACCTAAAGTGAATTATGAACCTTCTAAGGAACAAGCATTAACCTGTGCACCTCAGAAAAATGAGGAAGAACCACTGATGATAGCAAATCTAATAATCCTTACACATGCCATATTAAAAAGAAATATATACTGGTGTTAGTGTTCCACTATAGAGATATGCTATGGTGGTGTATCATGGCTAGTCAGGAGGTGAACTGTTTTATTGGAGAATGTGTAGCAAATATGATAGGGCAGCCAGAGACTCACCACAACTACTGTATTGAGTAACCATGGTGTCTGTTGTGCCCACGGCCACGTCTAAGAAAAACTGCCCCATCATGAGCCAGCCGTCAGCAGCCGGGTTTTCTATTACACGATCCCCTCGGACCATAGCTACTTGGATAGGGGTGCGCACCTAACAGAAGGACAGCCAATCAACCAATGATACTCTACCCGATGTATTAATTAGACCAGGAAACTGACTATGAATTGGCTTGGGATAAACATATTTTCCTTACAAAGAGCACAGAGATCCAATTACATTCCGGTCCTTGATTTTTTTTTTTAGATAGAGTTTCTCTCTTGTTGCCCAGGCTGGAGTACTATGGCGTGATCTCAGCTTACTGCAACCTCCGCCTCTCAAGTTCAAGTGATTCTCCTGCCTTAGCCTCCGAGTAGCTGGGATTACAGGCATGTGCCACCACGCCCAGCTAATTTTGCATTTTTAGTAGAGACAGGGTTTCTCCATGTTGGTCAGGCTGGTCTCGAACTCCCGACCTCAGGTAATCCATCCACCTCGGCCTCCCAAAATGCCGGGATTGGTCATGAGCCACTGCGTCTGGCCATCCTTGATATTTTGAATTCAGAAATATGGAGCATGTTATGCTGATGGCAGCCTGGGGAATGACAGAAATACACTCAGTTACAGGGGTGCAGAGAGTCCCTGTGGACAAGCCACATCATGAATAAGAAGCTATGAGGCAGAGGGAAAACAAAACTCACAGGAATCCAGGTAAGAATGGGAGGAAGAAATGCATCCGGAGAAGCAGTGGCTTGGAGCCATGTTACCTCCAGGGCACCAGCATGATGATCCCTACTGCAAGATCTGTGGAGCTGCCCTGACTCCACTTTGCCTCTCTGCAAGGCCCAGCTGCCCTATGGTTTCTGTTCTTGGAGTCCTAACAACTCTCTCCTACCCCATGCGAATTCTTATACTAAATGCTCCACTGCTTCAGCGAACCTGCACAAATCTCTGTTTTTTTGCAACAGAAAGTTTGGCCGGGCGCGGTGGCTCACGCCTGTAATCTCAGCACTTTGGGAGGCTGAGGCCGGTGGATCACCTGAGGTCAGGAGTTCGAGACCAGCCTGGCCTACATGGTGAAACCTCGTCTCTACTGAAAATAAAAAAATTTAACGTGGTAGCAGGCACCTGTAATCCCAGCAACTCGGGAGACTGAGGCAGGAGAATCGCTTGAACCTGGGAGGTGAAGGTTGCAGTGAGCCGAGATGGAGCCACTGCACTCCAGCCTGGGCGACAGAGTGAGACTTCATCTCAAAACAAAAAAGAGTTGTAATATTTTGATGATTGGTTTGGAGAAAATTGGTCTTAAATGTACGGATTTTGATGCCATGAGTAGGAAACTAATTCTGTGGAGAGGAACACTCTCCCATTAACTCATCAATCCCTAATACCGGTAGGGTATGAGGCCAAAGAACAAGTACAGGCTTACATACCACAGGTCTAAATATTTAAGACCTATACATCAATCAAGCTTAAATAAAATACATTTGATCTTCCTATCTTGACAAAGGTAAATGTAAATATTAAAAATATACCATTTTTTTTGGCCAAGATCAATGGCACACGCCTGTAATCCCAGCAATTTGGGAGGCCGAGGCAGGAGGATTGCTTGAGCTCAGGAGTTCGAGACCAGCCTGGGCAACATGGTGAAATCCCATCTCTATTTAAATATTTATAAAAGATTATATATAGATAGATATTTTTTAAGAGGCAAGGTGTCACTCTG